GGTAATTATTCATCACCCTACCATAACAGGCGATGATAATTATGATGTTGTTATAATTGAAACAGCTTTTGCGATAACTACTGACTCATTTTGCTTCTTGAAAGTTTCTAGTGATATTTTATAACGGCTCGGACACTTGCAAATTTCGCCGGAAGTCGTAATAAATCATAAATTTATCGCGAATTGGGGGCGGCGCGCACGTGGCTTTGCGTGCGAAGTGCGGACGGCATCCAATCGTCGATTACTTTTCTCCTTGTTAACCACAAGCGATGACACCGTTACTCAATGTGGGACTCCGCAGTCCGATGAAACACATATTTCTTGTAAACAGCATTCCGAGACTGGAGTTGCAACTGCATACTATGATTTTTTATATCTACGTGTAATCAATAGCAATGCTATATTGTAATAAATGTCAATAAGTTTTTGTAGTATATTGTAATAATATATTACATGCAATTCAATGCACATACCCACTTTAAGCATTTCCATCTCACATAGCATGATTTAGTGCACGACTACGCCAAATATTTCTTCCAATTCCAATATAAGGACTATGGCGATGTTGAATCGAGAAAATGGATAAGTGCAAATAGCGACGGGAACATAAAACTTGCTCGACTATAGCGCTCGCTTCCTGGAAACAGATCGACGTCACTAATGCAGTATAATGCATACTACTGTAAAACCTGTGTATGTATGTACATCACCACAAGCGGCATCGCGCGCTTTGATTCGCCACTCCCGTGATATACGACTTAATCCACCAGTTGCCACACCTTGCCAATGATGGAGCCTTATAATGTTTAGTAGTTGTGTTATAGATTTTAAGTTCACTAAACGATTTTCACTAATTATAGGCTTCTTACCACGGTATGAGTTATATTTATTATATCAATATTTTTTCCTGTCAACCCGTGATCATGGAACTATAGAACTCGTACTGTAAGTAATTAGTAGTAATTATTTATTTGTTGTGTTATAAGTTTTGTTGCTTTCTATTTTAGGTTTCTATATCCTCACTTCAAACTTCGAACATTGCTGTAATGTTTAATGATTTCACTTCGCTAAATTACTTGAAAAGGCTTCCTTGTATTTGTTATCCATTTTCCCTTTTACGCAGAACGCAATTGTCGAACAAAATTGTAGCAATCGTTGGTACATTTATATTCGATGTTCACTTTTCCTAGTAAATTGTTATTATTGTCGCCAGTGCGTGACCGGCTAGCATGTGATTACTGGGGAGCGATGTCGTTATTTCATGCGTCGTGTATGACAACTGTTCTCGTAATTGTCGCATTTCACAGAAACGATCAGTACGATTGCCAACAAAGAGCAGCGTTGGTCCCGAGCAGCCATTGCGGCCGGTGTCAAATTGGTCAAAACCAATGAACCACTGCTAGGTCTAATTGCAGCTTCGAAGGAAATGCAGGAACACCGTCCGCCTTTCATTAGCTCACTGTCCCTCCTTGGCCCGCGGTCTCTACCCGCCAGGCTCTCCGCCTTCCTTTGTCCGTCGCACACGTCTCGAATAACTCTCAATTATGACATATAAAAAAAACATTTATGACCGGGCATGCAAATTTAGCACCCAAAATGAACAATACGTACATTTAAAAATCCAGCTTATCGCACATGAAATTCAGTATCTCGGCCAATTACACTCAAGTTGTTCTATCTCAGAATTCTACCTGCAGACTTCTTGACGTGAAGGTTATTTAATGTTGAAAAGTTTAATGAACCCTTTCAGTCTAAATCAACCTGCGAAACGGGGAGATGAGTTGTGTTTTTATGTTTTTTGTTTGGGCTATCGTCAACTCGTCTAATTACGTTAATCTTATAAAAAGCCGGACATATTGCATTAAACAATCACATAATTATGTTGGGGAATATCAGTCAACCGTCGTCGTGACATCACATGCTGTACTTAAATTCGGTTTTACCTGCGGAATTTCCAGTTGTTTACTTTTTGTACTAAGTACGTCGTGTGACTGTGATTATGTACCTCTATTAACTAGTTATAATTGACAAGATAATTATTACTTAACTCTTAATTGTCGTTAGCTAGTACGACGGTCCGGAGCATATGTATATCACCTAGAAGAAAGATTTTAGGGTATACATAATTACATATACAAAAGTGGGAATGAAAGCTACTCTAATCGTAAAAGCTCCTAGCATTTTATATTAAAAATAAACATTGTTTACTTATTACTTATTTAGGTGTTCCCGGTACTAGTTTTCATATTTTACTGGCATTCGAAACTTATTGCTCTCTGTTTCTAATTCTCGTAAACTCTAAAGTAATCAGGAAGAAACTGCTGCTTAGGAACAAATCTGCCTATTGGACTTTGCTTCTGTTCGTTTGTTTATGCTATATTTTTATACGGTTTAAGTATGACTTTAATGTCAAGAATTACAGTGTACTTTCATATTATTAACATTTACTATTTTTAACGTCTCGTTTCCTTATTAATTTAATAAATTAATAGCTAAATATAACTTGAAAGGAGCGGAAACCTAGCGTTTCCCATGAAGTAAAACTTACTGTGAAAACCGTTTTTTGCAAAGATGTATCAGTAATATACTTAAAATCTATATAGCCTTGTAGAGAAATATGTGGCGGCTGCGTCGGATGATTTGTGGCAGGCAGGTTGGCAGGGTGCAGACAGGTCAAAGACCGGTTGGTTTGGGAACGTTCGAGGGAAGGGCCGGGCCGGCCCGAACATGACCTCATCTCGGTGGGTTTTTATGTCGGACACATTTTCCTCTCCTGACGTGGAATCCGTTACCATCTTTTTGGGCCAAACGTGTAAACCCGTTCTTACGCGAACGCCTACTAAAATAGGTGACAAATTAGAGCTTGAGAAGGAAAACAATATTCGTTTTTATTGCATCTCGTGACGCATCTTTATGTGTCCATTGCGTAGATTAGCACAGTTAAGAAGCTCTTGGAAATGTATAGAAATAAAAATAAATTTGAATATTTAATTGCTTTACCATATGTAAATTATGTTTTCGGAAACTACAAAGATATTATTGTTATTTCATTCTAAAAATTGCAAAATCTTTGTTTGTTTTTATTAGCTGCAAACACTTTTCAATAACAATGTATCGTTCAAATAAACACTTTCAATTTCTTTGAAACAAAACGTGATGTGAATCACTGGTTGCCTGAAAAAGTTAAAAATATTCGCACCGGTCCTCCAGCGACACTGGAAAGTTGGTAAACACGGTCCGATTGCACAGCTTTTACGATTTCTGTGAATTTCATCATAAAATAGATTTCTACGTGGGGCGCAACGGCCAGTCTTGCTTTCGCTTCATATTTTGCTTTGTTGGCGAATTGTGCTTTATACAATTTTACTTTTATTTTTGCCGCCATGTTTACTTATGGCGTCAGCAATGTAGGTCAAGTAGGCCTTGTACTACATTGCAAAAAAGTGAATTCCGGAATGTACTATTGATTATACATCATCGGGTAGATACTGCTGCCAGTGGATATTCACCAGGTTGCCGCCACGCACCCGTGTTTCCAGGAATCATTCCCCACGCGGCCTTGCGATGAAACATCGTTCATATGTTTATTTTACTTTTAAACGATTCAAAAGCTCGCTTAGTTTGCCTCTTCGTAAGAATCATGAGCATCTCACAACGTTTTGTTTGTGCAAACTGGATTTGCTGATCAATTTACAGTTGCTTGTATTAATTCAAATTATTCCATGCTTTAATATTTGGAAAAGGATCGTAGTGACGCAGCTCGGTATTCGCTAGGACTTATATCAAGATGTGCGCCATTGTAAGAATTGCAGGAATTACGATTTCCTCATTCTCGAGCATAATGTAATCCCGTGTTCGCGGAACAGCCGCTGTCATCGACAGCTGCATTACGCCACCACCCCACTTGTTGTAGGGTTACCAAACATTTCATTTTGTATTTCCTAAACTCGTCATGTCATGTCATATGCGCTCGAATAATTGGGTTTCTATGTGTTTAATAACACTTTGTCGATTTGATTGTACGTTTCAACAAAGCATATTCATTTCTTCCATTTAGGCGTTTCCATGTATAGCGATCTTGACAAGACCAACCCTGATAGAGCCGGAATTGGGCTTCATTAGCAGTAAATTACTTCTTGCTGGTAGAGCCGCAGATATAGTAAATGACATTACCGCACAATTTTCATTGCAGACTTTATCTGCGCAGCTTTGGCGGGCGATACCATCGCCAGTTGCGGGAAGACGCTCGCGTGCAGTCACTGTGTTGATCACTTTCAGGAATTACGAGATTAACATCGACGCTATTGACACGATTGCCTCCATTATCGTTTCAATTTGGTTAATTGTATATGCGTTTATTCGTTTCCATCTCCGTTTTTTCAATTTTCCAATTGCGTTTTAATTTTTTCCTTTATGTAGATCCTTGGTATAATAAAGCCACATGTGACCATAAGTGACAAGTCCTTTTACACTTAAACCTTTGACCTTTCACATGAAAATTATAAAAACTATATTAAATAAAGCAAATTATGTTATTATATGTGAAATCTTGGTAAGTTTCCTATTTAAGTATAAAAAAAAGTATCGACTAATTTCGTTCGTAAAATCTTTAGGCTCAATTTATATTGCGGCGGAACGGAATGGAAGCGAATTTTTGTAACGATATTCACGCGCATGCTCGAGAATGCTCGCGCATTCCGCAGGAGATTTTGACTCGTATCCAGTTTGTAAGTTACACCAGAAAGTTCATTATGCTATGTACAATATCGTTACAAAAATTCGCTTCCATTCCGTTTTGCCGCAATATATATTGAGCCTTAAACCTCTATCCTGAAAAGTAGTTATTTTTCTGAGGTGCCCTTATCACACCAAGGATGCGAAATTTTGAATGGCCGTTAACTACATTTTTTGTTCGTAGATTATTGGTATTGTCAACAACTCTTTTTCATTTCTTTGAAATGAAACAGGTTTCATATTAATTGATTTTTGTTTTGTTTCAGGTTTAAAGATGGAGTGGCGTACCCGTGGTCGGCCGGTGTTTCAAACTTGATCCTGTACCCTGAAGCGGCTAATCAAACTTTGTACACGCACCGCGCGGCTCGCTCCGACTCGGGAAATTACACCTGCCGCATCAGCAATGAAACACACAGTGAAACTCATACTGTTACCCTCGATATACTAGGTGAGAACCTTAAATTCATATTTCGGTTTACCACAATGCAAAGCCTGAAAGGATGTGCTTTTTCTGTTTTTTTTTTTATAATTTATTTATTTCTTCGTAGATATAGAATATACACTTATTTTAAAGACCTTGCCAGTCTGGCATCAGGTTTAGTAGCAGTAGAGCTCCTTGTGAAAGAGTTCATCCAGAGACGTGCTGCCACCTATTTCTGCCGCCAAGCAGTAATGTCAGCATTACTGTGTTCCGGTTTTGAGGGATAAGGGTGTTGGTGAAATTACAGGCAAATGGGACTTGTCAACTTATGTCTCTGGGTGACGGGCGCAGTGGCAGTGGTGCCTTTAAAGCTCTGAGTGGCACTGCAACTGTTATGGACAGGCGTGTAGCTTGCCATCAGGCGTACGACTTATGCGTCTCGTCACTTGATATTATAGAAAAAAGGTTGACTTGTTTAGATAAGAATATCGGTATTCTACAGGATATATCATGGAGAGTGTGCGATAGAATTGCGTGATTTAATTCCGCTTTCCCCATTCCAACTTCGTGGGACTAGGCGTATGCTGGGGTTCCACGATTATGTTGTGGATATTCCAAAGACTCTCAGGAAGCGTTTCGTTTCCACATTTATATGGCGAATGGCAAAAGAGTGGAATTCCCCACCTGCAATCTTGTTCCCCGAACGCTTTAACTTGGACCTTTTTAAGTGTACATGCTACATCGTCGATCTCATCGTCACTCCATTCGGTGGGATGGAGGTTAAATGCGCACTTATATATTTATAAAAATAAATTGTTAATTAGAAATATTAATTTCATTGCTTTCTCTTTCATTTGATTCTTATATTAAAATATGTATTAGGTAAATGATGATGATGCAAACATTAAAAACGGTTAATTACTTCCTTCTAAGACCACGTGTACACCAAAATATACATAACAATTAGGTAAACTGATTTAGAGCCAGACAATATTACAACTATGATCACGTATAATTGCGTTTTTCATATAAAACTGAGGGCACACATCTTATATTTAGCACATTTCAAAATTCAGTGTTTAGCGCTTTTCAAATTGCACTTTGCTGGGTCTTAGGAGATTAATGAAAATTTAACCTTATATATGCAAATGGCATTCAAATTACTTATCGACAATAATAGTTTGTTTAACTTACCTCACCCCTCTTGCGTGTTGGGTGGTAATTGGCAATCAACAGATTTCAGAGAAATGGTCTATAAAAATACTTTTTCTTATTTTTCTATCACAATATTCGCCGAAACTCCGTTTTAGTATTACGAGTTAAATTTCTACGACGCTAGGGTATTTCATTCCCGGTAAATGTAATGACGCTGTTAACGACAATTATTTAATTCCCAGAAAATCCAGCGGACAGCCCGAAAACAATGTTTGTTTCTAAGGACCAGTGGGTGGAAGAGGGTGGCCGGCTGCGGTTGTTCTGTGAGGCTCTTGTCGGTGAGTACACTATTCCATGACATTTAATTAAGGTAATTTTTCACCGGCGGGCGAGGCGACACGAGAATAGAAATCTCGCCGGCCTAATTCCACCAAAAACTGCCATTAACAGCTCGCGCGAGCCATCGCGACCTCACGCTGCTCGCGCTGTGGTTGTGACATTCAGTGCTGTTTAGTTATAAATACGCGGTTGAAAAATGTCCCGTAAATTATTATTTTTAAATATGGTAACGGAAGACGAATCAGATGACGTCTTCTTTTTATTAATCTCAAATCGTATCCAACAATCTCGCGATTGATGTTAATAACCATCGCGAGCTCGCGCGAGAAATCGTGTTTCCGTTGCAGAGTATAATACTTTCATGTGGGCTGCAATACGGTTCAATATTAAATCAACAAATATTTTAATTCTGGACTCATCCTTCCACTTCAATCCAGAACCATTGATAGATGCGCTAGGAAATTTTGCCCTACAAATATCAATCCTCATCTCGTCGTCTCGTCTCACCTCGCCGGTAGAAAAGCACCTTTATTACACTGAATAAACAGGTCGCAACTTGTATTCCGTATTGTATTCTGTATAATAGAATAATTTCCTTTTGTTCAAGTCGATCATAGTAGGCGAATTAATTGATTACTACTGTTGAATTGATAACCAATTCTTACCTTGTCGATGTCTCAGACCGGTAGGACTCACCACTCCTGCAGAGATGGATTGTGCTCCATACCGCAATCCTATATTAATTATATATTGCCCCTAAACTTAAAATAATACAATAGCACAATTATGTTACCGTGGCCGTGTAGAGATCTTCCCTCGCACAGGTAATTAGGGCATGAGTGGCACATGAGCAAGCCCTTATATATTACTCATTATAAGCAGTACAGCTCCTTGTGAAAGAGTTCGTTCAGGGAAGTGCTGCCACCTTACCTATTTCTGCCGCCAAGCAGTAATGTGAGCATTGCTGCGTTCCGGTTCTGAAGGGTAAGGGTGCTGATGAAATTACAGGCACGTGGGACTTGTCAAGTTATTCTCAGGTTGGCGGGCGCAGTGGCAATACCCCTCAGATCTTTGTGATTTAAAGCTCTGAGTGGCACCACTTAGTATCATAAAAAAAAACCTACCACATCTCAAAAAGGCCGTGACCTCGAATCCAGGTTCGCACTCTTCTAAGTTTCTCGGAATTTATTTGCGAAATTTAATTTGAAATTTACTATGAGCTTTTCGGTGAAGGAAAAATCGTGACGAAACGTGCAAATCGAAGAAGGTTTACAATCTTCGATAAACGTGTGAAGTCCCCAACCCGCGTTGGGCCAGCGCGTGGCGGACTATGGCCTAAATCCGTGGACCCGTGCCCAGCACTGGGATGTATAAATGGGTTGATGATGATAATCTTGTGCTAGGCTCACACGTCTTCGGCCTCCTACGTTAGTTTAATGATGATAAATAGTCGAACCGTCTCGTAATGATCCCTGCCCACTCCTAAATTAGACAAATATTTATCACTTACCAATTACAATTTGGGGCTACAAGTGAATAGGCATTTTTAGGCAAACGGGTACCATCGTCAGTTACATCGTCGCTACAGACCCCGTATATTTATAAATAATAGAAGGAAGGAAGACCAGCTTGCAATGAATATCATGATGTATTATATACCATGGTATCCATATATTTACCCCATCATATTTATAAAGGATATAGATTGTAATGTGAACACCATGGTGTTTTACCACCATGGTATCCAGTTATTTTTGTGAAATTACTCAACCAATTTATTTTAATTATTAATTTAAAGATCGAACACAGAAAAAAATTTTCAATCAATCTAGTCTCGAACTACAGATCGAGTCAGCAGACCTTACTAATTTCTTTACGCGTTTGTTGCAGATCTTTATTTTTGGTTTTATAAAGGGTCTCTAGATACTAAAAGGTACGTGTCGGGTTTGTCCGACTGGACTTTCCCTACCTGCCTATAACAGAAACCAGTCACTCGCTCGGTTTGTTAGCTCTGAGGAAAACAATGAAATGTTGAAATCACACGAGTATAATATAATGACTCATTGACCTTAATTTCTAGTTCTTTGGGGATATAATTATATTTTTTATCATCAAATTTATATTTGTATTGTAGATAACATATGCAAGGATTTGTTATTAAATTTATTGTAGATGTATTTAGTGATAGATAAGATATATATACGCGTGTGTCATACTGGGAAACTACACTTATTTGGTGATGATGCCATCATTAATTAATTTTATAGAAATATTACGCAATATTGCTCATTCTCAATGTACCTACATGTAGATGATGACAATCTTATTAATTTTACTTAAGTTGTATTGTTTTTGTGAATTTAATTTAAAATACAATAGGAATTGAAACAATTTTTTTTCGTATCACGATATATGCGTATATCCGAAAAAATATTTTTATTTCCAATATGTAACAATCGCAAACTACACACATCAAAATTGTCTAGGGATCAAGCACGTTTTTGCTCATTACTGAAAATCAGGTTTTTTAATTAATTTTTTTAACACCAGTGGATTTTTAAAAAATGAATGAATGAATGAAATTCTCTTTATTGCACATAAATATACAGTGACATTATAGAACAGCGACATTAGTAAGTATATAAATAGTAAGTTAGTGTGCAACAGGCGGCCTTATGTTATGTAGCAATTTCTTCCAAGCTACTTTAGGATAAAACTTTGGGATATCGTCGTTGATAGTGCAAATCCACGTATGTAGTATTGGTAAAAGACATATCTGCACTAAACAAAATTTGACAGGAGAGGGATTTAAAGCTGTTACTTTGTTATTTCAATGGCAACGGCTGCCGTTTTTGCCCAGTAAGCATTAATTTATGTTGTCTACGGACTCATAACAATAGATTCCCGTAAATCACGCTAATTTGGTTGCCACCACATTCACGCGGATTTGATTTGACCCCTAATTACCGAAATGGAAACTCATAATCAAATGCTAGTTACGCTTGATATTATCCTTGACGATATGTAAAAGTTTTTGGTCAATATCATTTTCTTCTTTCTTCTTGCTTGATCCCTATGAAACTTTTAATGTGTGTAGTTGTATTTTTACTTACAAAACTTTACTTCTGAATAATTACTTCTAAAGTAATACCTAGTTACACATTAAAAATACAGAACTAAATACAATGGAAATAAATATATATATTTGCATATATACATATATAAATATACTTTACCTAGTCCGTTATCTGATAATTGCTGACGACATCGATGAGTTGCAGAAACTGTTTTATAATGTGACCTGATCTATAATAACTGTTCTTTACTTTATCATAGCGAAGCCTGAGATAGCGTTACTTAATTAAGCATTCAAGTTATAGAACTTTTGTGCAATTGAACTATAGTAAAATTAACAGTACATTTTGTTTCTAGGTCGTTCTTATCTAGCTGACGCCAAAAGCGATCTCCGATGGTACAAGGTTTGGCCCAATGGCACCGAAGGTGATTTGCTCTCTACACAAACTGAAATCAAGACAAAAAGGTAGGAATTAGAATTATTTACGACCAATTACTTTATGAGAATTCCTCATGAGTAAACAGTACTGCATTACGAGTTTACAAGACAATACTACTTACTACTTTTTGCTGGCACTTATATGATGGCTTAATGCAAACATTTTTTCCCGCGCCCGTATGTATTATTCCTTCGCTTGCCATTGTTGTGCACACTTGAATTTCTCGGAACTGCGGTTCTATTTAAATCCGCGATCTCTGGATGAGTAATAATTTTTAAGCAAACACGACACTATTCGTGTGCGATTTGTTGGCAGTAATGATACCAGTTCAGCCAAATGTTTATCCCCTTTGTTTGATGATCGGTTATAGATTTTAAAATGAAATGTTTGACGTGTCATGTAAAGTATGGGAACGTTTGTTCATTGATCGATGTCATTAGAGTCGAAATTGGGAACGATAAGTCCTTTTTATTACTTTTTTAAAGTAAAAGCGGTGGCGGAAAAGCTGTTACGTACTTGCGATTAATTGAGTGGAATAGTAGGTACAACCACGTTACTGTCAATTACGAGAATATACAGAATGGACAAATATAGCAATGGCGCTTGTAATATAACAACTTGTTTTATGGGTAGCACTATCTTTATCGTCTCTTGGACTAGACTATGAATCCTACTGGTCAGAGACGAAGACGAGAATGTTCGTCTTTTGGAGACGAACCGGGTGGTCTAGCAATGGGGTTTGGGCCATCGGCCATACTCCTCTGACCTCGCCTTAGAGCGATGCCACACAATGCGTAGAGTCGGGCGTTGCGACCCTTGAGCGATGACGCTGCGTTGTACTACGTGTAAATTAGAACTACATGCCACATTGTGCGTTGAAACGGATTTAGATTTATTTATTATCTTGTAAACTTTACATTATATAGGTATACAATATATTGTATTACAAGAATCGTTACAAATAATAATATATGTTACATTTCAAAACATTACAAATATCCAGCACGTTTTGTACTAGGTAATTTTAACATAGTTAATGTAGTTATGTGAAATGATGTGGGAACATATTAAAAAATATAATAAGAATTATGCCAAAATAATGATTGTATGTGTTAAGTTTATGCAATTTATCCATTTCTGTAAAATAATATTTATATCTAATAATCTAATATATTATAAATTTGACTTTACTTTTTTAAATTGGTACGGGTGTTCCAGATAGTGCCTCAGAAATCCGGTGCTTTGGTACTCATAGTACAGGGAATTACCTAGTTTGAGAACAGATAATTGTTGAAAATATAGGTGCAAAGAAGATAGAATGATTTTTTAATAATGTGAACAAACTATATTTGATACTAATTTTATTACTAGGGAGATATATGACTAACTCCTATAAAAGTATCTAAAAGAAAATGGCGGCATAATTGCATACTTCATATTATTAATCGTTCAGAAATCGATTAAATGTTAACATTTACATTATAAAGTTAAACAAACCAACAGTAATATGTGTGTTTTTAATGATGTAATTTTATTTGCCAGAGACGACATTGACGACATAATCGGGGCGTACCTGCTGGTGGATAACGTGCAGGCACAAGACTACGGCACGTACGCATGTGTAGTGCACAGCAATGACGTTCTCTTCGTCTTTAGAAACTATGTCATTGTTAGGCATAAAAGTGAGTTTTTGTTACAATTTCGGTGCTATCTCATTACATTACTATGTAGATTATATTTAACTACAAAAATAAGTAGGTAGTTTGCTTCTGGTATTTTAGTACTTAATTTGAAACAGGTGACAATGATTCTTATCATCATTTTTGAGTTTCAATTTTCTCGGTGCAATCATGGCGTGAACAATTGACGGGTCACCCCAGTTGCGGTTTTGATACGAGATTATTGTTACGCTTCAATAATAAGATTCCGGGAGATATTCATAATTCGCCGTTTACGAATTTAAAACTACATTGAAACAATAACTTTACACTAAAAACTAAAGTTTATATTAATAATAATAATAATTCATTTATCTGTGAAAATGCAAATATATAGAAGCTGACATGTTCAAAATAAGTATAGTTTCACTATGTCCGGCCAAACATTAGTCATACAAATATTGAAGGTATATTATACATTCGCTCACATGCACTTCGACAGACTAAACCAGGTGTAACATGTTTCTTTTTCAATAATATTACTTGGCGTGCACACATGAATTTTATAAGTCGGTCAGAATTTAAACGCGATGATAGTTAACTGAGTCGATTTTAATGGTGATTAGATGTCAAAATAATAAGTAGTATGAATAACGTCAATAACGTGCAATGTCAAAAATTAGACAATTAATTTAGGGATTTAAAAATTCGGACAATAGTACATTTTCTTAGTAAATAAATAAATTATTTTTTAAATAGCATAAGGTTTTTCTCAGAACTTAGTGCTTTCGGTTAATTGTTGTAAATTTTTGGCGCCATTTCAAAAGGTTACCGGGTTTCTTCAAACGAATTATTATATGACTTCTACGTACTTGGATGACAAAAATCCATGGTAGTAACCCGTTTAGGTCTTGAAGGTTGATACGAGGTTAACGATATTTGAAATAAATATTGTAAATTGATAAATGTGTACAAATGTTTATTTACCAACCAACCCCTAGAGTTTCGTACTCATTCTTCTCCGAGTAGTTTAATCAATGTGACGAATTCAAGTGTAATTATGATGTTATTATGGTGAAATTACAGGCACATGAGACTTATCAACCTGTCTCAGGGTGACGGGCGCAGTGGCAGTGCCACTCAGATCTTGGTGTTTTAAAGCTCTGCGTGGCACTGCAACTGTTATGTACAGGCGTGTCGCTTACCATCAGGCGCACCACTTCTTCGTCCCGTCACTTGGTACCTTAAAAAAATCTTTTTTACGACCTGCTTAGGGGTGGAAATACAAGCGCCTTGTGTAAAATATATAACACAGGTTAATATTATAGCACAAGTATGTATGTATTATGGAGACCAGACTTTCATAAATGAAACTATGTATATTCAGTAAAATTTGAGGACCATAAAACATAAAACATGACACTGTTTAAAAATGAAAACCTATTGTGGCTTAAGATGAGCTAGTTCCGATTTTACCAGTCGCGACACCTATGACGATAAATTACTGCTTATTCATGTAATTTTTTTTGTATTCTTTTTTTTCTTTTTTGTGTCCGTTTTTTTGTTGAAATGCGTGTTTGGGTTTGTACAATAAACAGTTTTCTTTTTTTCGAAGTATAAGTTTCTTTTGTGAAATATAATAAAGACATTTCCATTCATTTGCTGGCCTATGAAATTAAGGTTATTTAAGTTTGAATTTGATGTCCATAGATGAAGGCAGACTCATATTATGGTCGAGCGACAGCGAGGTTCCTTGGCGGACGCTGTTGCTAGGTGGGGTGGCGTTGACGTTGCTGCTGGCCTCGCTGTTGGTGCTGCATCGGCGGTATTCCGCGGGGTTCTTGCTCGCCGTGAGACACGCGAGGGCTAGGACACACACTTCTGCACATAGAGCTAGAGGTAAATATTGCAAATTTTTATTTTGCAACTTTAAAATGATAGGAGAGATCTTGGTTATTCAAATTATTCTGTTGTTCGAATTTTCTTTACAGTAAAGTCAGGTAATTAATTAACCCAAAATCCAACTTTTCTTTGAATTAACAAAGGTTCGTTGGAAAAATCCTTTTATGGGATAAACTCGCCTTTGTACACTAATGTCATAATTTTTTGTTAACATTTGTAATTTGTTTTGTTGTTCAATAAAGTGTTTACATGAATAAATACATAATTTTGTATGACTGTTTGCAGAAAAACAAATAGTAAAAAAAACCATTTATTCTAAAGGCGGGGTTTGGGTATATAACTCTGGAGAAATGCATTTTGGGTCTGCGGAAATTGTTATTTTATTAAGTTCTATTACCGATAAAATTTTGTGTAGAAATAAATTATTGTCAATGTTATTTTGTTATAGTTCTCGAGAAAGATTTTGACGTCGTTGTGTGCTCGACGGAGGTGGACAACGAGTTAGTGCGCGGCGCTCTCGTACCTACACTCGCTCTCAAATACAAGTACAGAGTTCATACTGTGCCGTTGCCTACGCAGCCTGATACATGTTAGTTGTTTCTTTGTTTATTTTTAAATGTTTAAAAAGCAAACCGTTAATACTGCTAACTGCACGGCTTTAACGGTTCCGGCACGGCTCCGTGGCCGAACAGTTACCATGCTGGACTGCCGCGCATAGATCCCGGGTTCAATTCCCGGGCCGGGAGAAATGTTGGTATGGCCTACATTTATTTTTCTCGTGAGTTTGGGTGTCATTTGTGGTTGTCTGTTATGAGTGTGTGCGCGTTATTATTAATACTGCTGATTTAAATGTCTATGGAAACAGACATCTGGCTCCAAATGTCTATAGAAATAGATATTTGGATCAGCAGTAGGTAATAGTAGCATTACAACTCTTTGTGAAAGAGTTCGTTCAGATAAGTACTGCCACCGAACCTATTTCTGCCATCAAGCATTAATGTGAGCATTATTACGTTCCGGTTATGAAGGATAGAGGTGTTGGTGAACCCCAGGGTGACGGGCGCAGTGGCAATGCCCCTCAGGCCTTTGAGATTGAAAGTTCAGAGTGGCACTGCAACTGTGATGGGTACGATTTGTTTTTCCCGTCGCTTGGTGTCCTAAAAAAGAATAAAAAATGTGTCTAATGGTCGATAGTTGCTGAATGATTGAAGCTATCAGCGCAAAAATGGTGTACACCACATTTAGGTTTTGTTCTACAATATTACTTTGAATGATAGTAAAGTATACTATTATTGTATATTTGGATGCTATTTTCATTGTATAAAAAGTGTATGTATAACGCCTTATGTCCCCGCACTCGAAGTGAGTAAAATTTTGCGGCGCTCGGCTTCTGTGGGCGATGGCAGGACGCAAGAAGGTGGAGACCTCGGTTCGCGTCTCACGCGCCGTGCGTTTTTTTTTATTGTACACGAAATCTGTGTAACAATAAAATTGTGTAATAATTTCATTGTTCGAATATTAAAAGTGTTTTCAACGTTATTCGAGTTTTACAATAATTATAATATTTGTCATATTGTTATGTGATTATTGATTACTAATATTATATAAAATGTCTTACATCATTGTCTTCCTGCATGCATTTCTGTTGTCTATATTGAAGGTTATAGCGAGCTTTTAAAGTTTGTCCAATCTTTTTATAATGCTGAATGTTTCTCCAGGGTACAAGGAGTTGACCGAAGAGGTGAACCGGAGCCGGTCGCTGGTGGCTGTTGTGTCCCCCGCGCAATACTCGCCGCAGCAGCTGCTGACCGCGCTGCGACAGCTCAGGGCGTTGACGGTACCGCCAGTCGTGGTGCTGCTACAGGTACTAAACTCTTTATACTGTAGCGGTTTGATAGTATGATCCACTGCTATAGTTTGTGACATTTTGCATGTCAATACACATTCCGATGACATTTATTCCGAAGTCACAATTCGACAGCGATTCATCGCCGATCCTTATAAATCTGTCGCAATTTTGACATCGCTTGAGTGACATAATAAAAGCCAATGACATAATTATGAGTAAATGAAATGGAGGCATATCAATTCCTGAATTTATACGTTATTAATATCACACTTATTATTATAATTTAATATATTAATAATTATTTAAGACATGTTTGATGAAAATAAATAATACGGATTACGTTATAATAATATACCACTTCACGTTAAAACTAATATTTAAAACTCAGTGCATAAATAATTAGAATTCAGCTTCTTTAATTTCATAATTTAGAAAAATACAGAATGTATTAATTTTCATTTAACATCTTCCTGTCCTTATCCCACGCTAGGTGGGGTCGGCACAACATGTATTTTTCATTCACTCTCCCCTATCAGCCGTCATTTTTATACTCACACCTTTCTGATCATGTCCTTTTTCAGACAATCCATCCATCTTTTCTTTGGCCCTCCTTCCCCCTTATATCCCTCCACATTCATACCTAACACTTTTCTCGTCACATGACATTCTTCCCTCCGCATGACATGTCCATACCACGCTAACCTATTACTCCTCATCTTTTCAGTCACTGGCGCCACTTACAAACTTCCCCTGATGTACTCATTTCTTATCTTATACTTTCTCGTTACTCCACACATCCATCTCAACATTCGCATTTCCGCTACATGCACAGTTCGTTCATGCTCCCTTTTCTTTCATTTTCCTTTAACATCCATTAGAAAAAAAAAACTATAGTCCTCTAAAAAAGGGAAATTTAACTTATCCTCTTTTATTTTTACCTACATTTCACGCCAGAAACGCGTCATGTTTTGCCATTTTATATTAAATATACGATGTTTAATATAAAATGTTTAGGTTTAGTGACACCATTTATTAACGACTATCACGCACACTAAGAGGAATGTCAACACGCAGCAGTACGAACGCACACAGTACACATACATAAAAATGTTTTTGTACGACGAATGAGCAGTATACGGAAAAACTTAGTTTAATTTATGTTATACTGGAACTGTGGCGGGCTATGACCAAAACCCTCGACTGAAAGGAGACCCGTGCCCAACAGTGGGACGTATCAATGGGTTACTGTATTTTTATGGAACAGCTATCACTGTCTAACCGAATGCTGACTTGAATCAAATTTCAAAATTCGCGTCATCCGAGCATGTAGAATGAATTGAATCGTTCCAGGACCTGCCGAATCTGAAACGCGAGGCGAAGGACTCCGGCGAGAGCTTGGTCGAAGTGCTAAGGCGCACGACTCTCGTGCCGTGGCGGCACATGCACGAGAAGCACTTCTGGAAGCAGCTGCGCCTCGCGTTGCCCGTACCGCCACCGCCAAACACCGTCAGAGAGGTACGTGACTTTTTATTGTTATCAGTCATCGCACCCTCAATAATAAAGTGACTGAACCGAAAAAGTAGTTTTTAAGAAACCGACAAAAATCGTCGACTAAATTTAAAAACCTTTTAGTAGCAGTAGAGAAAAGAAGCAGAAGCCTGTGAAAGAGTTCGTTCAGGGAAGCACTGCCATCTCTTACCTATTTCTGGCGTCAAGCATTAATATAAACATTACTTCATTTCGGTTTTGACGGGTAAAGGTGCTAGAAAAGTTACAGGCACATGGGACTTGTTAAATTATGTCTCAGGATGATGGGCTCTTTGTGATTTAGGTATCTATTTTGAGTGGCATTGCAATTACAACTGTTATGAACTGGTGTGTCGCACAACTTGTTCGTCTTGTTAATTGGTATCAAAGAAAATTCTCAACCCTGTAGGGTGATCTGTTGCGAGAACAGCAGTATCTCGCACTTTATGTCGCGCCCTATCGTGCTAGCCCTACTCTTTTAGGTATAAAATAAAAGTATAATCATAAATTGTATTACAATTATTTCTCATAATTCTGTTTTTTTTGCCTACTCAAAATTCACATTAATGGAGGCACGAGGTTTACGAATTTAACCGACGACGCAGTGTTGGGGTATTGTTTATCTGTCGCTGTAGTCACTCTCTTTTACTTTGTTACCTGTTTAAAATAATCACAGATACGGGGCAGAAATGAACGCTTTTATTTTTCTAGTTAAAATTGTATATTAGTATGGACGACTGTTAGCGGACAGCACCCCATTCGTATTCATTCCGAATCTCAACAATCAAAATCACGCTGCTGGTTGTGTGTCTCATTTCATCGGTAATTAAATATTAAATATGTAATTTTGCAATTTTCGTCCATTATAGCAATGCTCAAGTCAACTGGTCGATTTGAAGTGAAACAGTTGACGACACCCATTGACGACACCCGTCAATTGTTTCGAACTCGGGCTAGCCAATCGGAGCGCAGTTGTCACAGTAATGATATGGCAGAATAGTTTTCAAACAAATTAAATGACATTTCGTCTCTATTTCTGGTTATATACTCGATGCACACATGTCTGTTCATCGCAAGTTAATTTCGAAGTATATTCTAGAAAATCTATTTTTGACCTTAGTATAGACTTTATATTGTGTATATTTTGATTGTAATAGGCTGTTGATTTTCTTTAATAAACAAATACGTTAACAACAATATAAAATCTTAGTGTTCATAGAAAGGGAAATTTAATAATTGAATTTGCAAGCGAAATTTTTGTTTAGTGACAGTACCTATTGTATATATCGTTCCATACATTCTGCGGTGCCATCATTCGCATGTACACTTTTTCTTATTAAAAGTAGCATTTTATATCTTTTTATTTATTTCAGATAAAACCGAACGACACGAAAACGGAAGAAAGCAAGAACTCTCGGTCGGGGAGTCTAACAGCGCTTGTTTGAGCTTTAAATGTTTGAAAACGTTTGAAGCCGTCGGTACGGCAGACGCGATGTATATAAAGTAGTGATAGCGAGTGTCTAACACTGAAAAGCGAAACGCGTGCCACACACGACAATAAGCACGAACTTTTGAATCACTTGGTTTGTTTCTACAGGTACATTATAAAAATCAAAGATAACTTTATTTTTGAAATTTGTACTTCTTTATCATTTCTCAAATAAATGATTGAGAGGTATAATGGGTTTCCGCGATTCACTAATTTACCTGTAGCTAATTTAAGTCTGGAATTATTGCATGACCTCGAACAAATCACATGGATCTGAGGTAACGTTTTTTTATTCAAATCATTTTCTAAATATTAGGTCCGTATGTTATTATTTTGCTACATTATACTGCCCGCCTTTTCGCAGCCAGATGCAATGAAATCTACTACCGAAAATAATACAAATTAGTAGAAACTGGTATAAACGGTAACACTGTTTAAAGATTCACAGATAATTAGTAGAAACCGTACCTTATATGGTAACACTGCCCTGAGAAGACAATATCAATAACTTGGATGTATTTTGCATTATGTCTATCTTTACGCAGTTATTGTGCATGTATCACTAATAATCCACTATGTTCAATTTAAATTGCCGCGGAATAGAATCTATTTTTTGTAATTATAACATAATGAACTAGCCCAAAAACGGGTCCCTCGTCTTCTCGAGAATTCTCGCGCAATCTCTTACCATATCGTGTTCATATGCTATGTACATTTTTTTACAACAATTGAATTACATTGCCATCCGCAGCAATATATATATATATTTATAGCGCACATATAATATATAATGTAATAAAGCCCCAAAAAAAAAGTAAAGTAGTAAAAAGTAGAGCAAAATTTACATTGTACGAAAAGGTTACAATTGCCTGGTCTTTAAGTAAAGAATTCCCTGGATTATGAATACCAGACCAGAACCAATTTAGGATAGTTCATTTCCCAGATTGGTTCTACCGGGAATCGAACTCGAGACCTTCGCAACCTGCCCCCACCGTGCAAACCGTTGCGCCGAGATTATTTACCTTACTCATTATAGCTAAACAAAATGTTGAATATTTTTGCACAAATTCCATTCATGTAAAATTGAACAGCACCGAGACTATTTACTGTAATTTGAAACAATAGAAAATATAAAACGTTAAAAATGACGTTAAATGATTCTTATCTATGTAAGATATTGATAAAAACGTATTAGTAAAAACGGTGCTCGAGTTGAAATTATATGCCACCGTTCTAAAACTACGCCGCATTGTAATATTACCTCAATAGTGATTCAAATAGTGCTTTTGTGATGTCAATCTGTTATCAAGACTGTGAGTAGCTATTAATTATAATTGAACAATGTATCACACTATTTTATTTAGCATTTAAGACTTATTTCTCTATACAGTTTTCTAAGATCTCAACTGTCTTTCGGCTGGTGACGAATAAATTATTCCGCTTCTATTTCGCATACCAAAGGAAACATGTATCATGACAATTTGTTCTTTCTTTCTATTTATTTTGTCTTTTGCATTCACAGTTAAAGGGTTTTCTCTATTTTCTAACCCGAAACCAATGGATGCAGCGGAGAGGAGACATGTTATTATACCTTGTTCATGTAGTTGGATATATTATAATTTGGTTTAAAAAACAAATAGTATGAATCACACTTAGTTGTTCAAAATCTAAACAAAAAATGTCATTGTCAAAGTGTGAATGCAGGCGTGCTAAACTTCTTTCGCCTTCGGTTCTCAGTTTCAACAATTTTATTATTTTATTTTATTTTATTAATTTTAATTATATATTACAAAATATAAACAAAAACTTTAACAACAACACACAATAATTTAACAAACGCATTACAGAGGCAAGAAAACATTCGAGATCGAGAAACGAAGCACGAGTGTCAGCTATGACACGACAAAATGACGGCACAAAAAATGTTTTTGATCCTGATTGTGTTACCAGTGTCATAAAATTATTTTCGACATTAATATATACATAGTCTTTATTACAATTATTGCGTTAAATGAAATTAAGTCAAAGTATATATTGTAAAATGTGAAGTGTGTTCTATATTTTAACATTTATTATGGTCAAAAATAGGAAACTACCATTGACAATGTATTTTTTGTTCCGTTATCCCTTTTGTTTACATTTTGGACATCTAATTATGATTCATATTATAGCATCTATTGGTGCAAAATAACAAGGTTTTCTAAGTAATCAAACAACACAAGCTAGAAGATTAGTCTTAAGCTATAAGTTTATAGCTTGTATTGTAATAATAAAAATATTTTTCTGATTATTACCTCTCTTCTTCGCTAATATGCATTTCACCTTAGGGTATTTTTTTTTTGTTGACTGTACTGTAATACAGATGTAGTATAGAAGTAACTGAAGGGTCACACACATCTTGTATAGAAGCGTTAAGGTCGCATTTTGTATTTATAAAGTATTATTAAGTAATGTTGGTGAACAGCTGGCGCGGACTGTGATAATTGGATGTGTTTCTCGTTGTACTTCTGTATTGTACCATTGGTGACTTAAAATAATTCACCCGTTTTTAAAACAATAACTGTTTCCTCATCTAAACATATATAGGGTTACTTGTAAAAACTAACAACTTTGCAGGACTACATTAGCAACATCCTAAACAACAACTTTTGATCCATGACTTTGATAATTTATCAAATTTTACTTTCATACAAAAATAAAAATATACACGCAAAATGGGCGCCTTGACGTCGAGTTTTGTAAACAGTCATGGAACAAAAGTTGTTGCTGATTTTAGTATTATAATCCTTCGAGATTGTTAGTATTTTACAAATAACCCCGTATAAAATATATAGCTAGCAATCGTCATATCGAAGTGTAAAGAATAACAAGACTTCTTGTTCTATCACCGTCTAACAAACTAGAGATGCAACGTGAAACGCCGAAATGTTCGGATACTAGAAAATGTGCCTATAATGAAATGAATTTAAAAAAGAATTTCTAATGAATAGCTTGAGTGCTTCCTCTATGTGTCGTTGTCTATTGGGGGTTGATGTTGCTCGCTTCCGTAGGTTTACCCTTGAGACCCTACAAGTGACCCCTGGGTGGTGCTAAAGAGCAATAACTACTGGTGGTAGGCTTCGGCCGTGGCTAGTCACCACCCTCCCGACGCAGTCGAGTCGCCAAATGGTTTTTACCGTGTTCCGACTCGTGTTCGGGAGTTGCCATTTGGAGGTCGGGTCTGAACAGTTGCATTGCGTCTGACGGCGAGTTGTAGCTGCTTGTACTGCCACACTGAGCACTCGGTTCTGGAGGCTAGCGGGATCCGAAGCACGGTGCACCGCTGGCCGACCGTGGGAAGTTGGGGGCCCAAGTAGCGGGAAAGCCACCCGTGAAAGGCTGCCCCGCCACCCAACGAAAAATCCCGGAATGCTCCACCTTGCCGGTTGGCGACCGGAAGGGAGGACCAGGTGGCCATCTCCGGGGGGGTTCGGGCGTCCCCGCGGTCTCCAAGCCGATTGTAACCTCGTGTGGCAGTATGAGTCTGCTGCTTGGTTGAACACGACGCAGTGCCTCGTTCAACTGCCTTCCTCCTGCCTATTCACTTCTCCAAATCCAAAAATGAAGAACTATAAAAATGGAAAAAAGTATACACAGCGGTTGCACGTCCTCCCACTAAAAGTGCACCTCACTAACATCCGAGGTCTGCACTCAAATCTCGATTCGGTCCACTACCACCTTGAAACCGACAAACCGCAGCTGCTGTTCCTCACAGAGACGCAGATCAGATGTCCGACTGACGCAGCGTACCTCAGCTACCCCGGGTATACTCTGGAGCACAGGTTCGTACCTCGTGCCGGAGTCTGTGTGTACGTTCGCGATGACATCTGTGTCAAGCGTCTCAAGAACCTTGAGGCACCGAGTTTTTCAATTTTGTGGCTTCTGGTTGACACAGGAGTTACACAAATAGTGTACTGCTGTGTTTACCGATCGCACAGTGGAGATCAGGAGACGACCAAGCTGTTCCAATATCTAAGTGAGACGTCTGATGAGATTCAGCATAGGTACCCAGCGGCGCAACTAGTCATTCTGGGGGACTTTAATGCACACCATCAAGAATGGTTGTTCCCATACCAGAAGACCGATCACGCTGGGAGAGAGACGCGTAAACTTGCGTTAACGCTAAGCTTATCCCAGCTTGTCAGTGGCGCCACTAGGATACCAGATGTTGAATCTCATACGGCTAATTGCTTGGACCTTCTGCTGACAACTGATCCGGACCGATACTCTGTGGTTGTGGAGGCCCCACTGGGTACTTCCGACCATTGTCTGGTGAAAACTGTATCCGTATACTCCCCACCCCATCAGGGCCCTAGTGGTATGAGACGGGTGTGGCGATACAAGTTAGCAGATTGGGACGAAATGCGCCATTTCTTTGCGTCATATCTCTGGCAGGCGTGCTTTACTTCAGGAGACTCGTCGAGCTGTGCTGATGCTGTAGTCGAGGTCTTGCGTTTGGGTATGGAGTATTACATTCCATACTCTGATGTACCCAATGGACCCCAAGCTCGTCCATGGTTTAACGCTAATTGTAGTTGTGCTGAAGCACGTAAACAGTCCGCGTACCAAGCTTGGGCAGATGCTCGACTACGCAAAACTCCGAGTACTCAGAACATGAAGAAAGCTTTTAATAAGGCCGCCAAGAAGTGCAAAAGCATGTTACGTAGGGCCAAGTTCGACCATGTGCGCCGCATAGGAGCCAAGCTTGCCTCTTATCCAGCAGGCAGCAAATCCTTTTGGTCCCTGGCCAAAGCGGTCGAATCGAACTTTTGTCGCCCATCTTTGCCACCTCTGCTGAGGCCGGATGGCTCGCTGGCTCATACTGCGGAAGAGAAGGCGAATCTCTTTGCCTCACTCTTTGCAGAAAATTCGCGTCTAGATGCCGCAGGGACCCTACCACCTACTTTACCTCAGGCTGGCTGCACTATGGCGCCAGTTCGCATACGCCAAAAAGAAGTACTTAGAACTCTGCGAAATCTAGACGTGAATAAAGCTAGCGGGCCAGATGGAATTCCAGCAATAGTCCTTCGTAACTGTGCACCTGAGTTGTCTCCTGTTCTCACACGCCTGTACCGCCTCTCACTTGAGACTGGTGTAGTTCCCAGATCGTGGAAGCTTGCAAACGTGCAACCTGTACCAAAAAAGGGAAGCAGAGCTGACCCTGTCAACTATAGACCTATCTCAGTCACTTCCATACTCTGCAAGACTATGGAACGTGTACTCAACAACCGTCTCCTATCGTACCTTGAAGACAACGATCTCCTCAGTGATCGCCAGTACGGATTCCGACGAGGGCGATCTACTGGGGATCTTCTTGTGTATGCCTGTCACATATGGAGCGAGGCTATAGAAAAGCAAGGCGAAGCACTTGCAGTGTCTTTGGACATTTCTAAAGCCTTTGACAGGGTCTGGCACGCAAGCCTTTTAAGCAAGCTTCCCTCTTATGGGCTTCCCACTGACCTTTGCAATTGGATCTCGGATTTCTTGAGCGAACGTTCGATTCGAGTGGTCTTAGAAGGCTACTCTTCCGAACATATGGCGATAGATGCCGGAGTTCCTCAGGGTTCCGTACTGTCTGCAACTCTCTTTCTGCTGCATATCAATGATATGTTAATTCCAGGTACCTTTGCGTATGCTGATGACAGCACAGTTGTAGATAGGTACTTGACCAATGCAAGGGTCAGTGGAGAGGAAATCCAGTCTTGTCGAGAGTCCATGGTTAGCCGTTTAGATTTGACACTCCAGGCAGTCTCCGATTGGGGCAATGCCAATCTTGTCAAATTTAACGCTACCAAAACGCAGGCGTGTCTATTCTCCACAAAACGGAGTCCCTTTGAGCTGACTCCGACTTTTCGTGATATATCCATACCGATAGCCGATTGTCTCCAGCTACTTGGAATGGACCTGTCGTCCAATTTGAACTTCGGCAGATACATTGAATCCACGGCCAAAAATGCAGCAAGGAAGCTTGGGATCCTTTCCAGGGTGAGGCGGTGCTTTACACCGGGACAGTTGCTCCAGCTGTACCAGGCACAAGTCCGATCGTGCATGGAGTACTGCTGCCACCTTTGGGATGGCTCTGCGACATATCAACTGGCCACTTTGGATTCAATTGACAACCGTGCCAAGAGACTTATAGGTGACTCGGAATTAGTGGAGGCGAAGCTGCAGAACCTTGAACACCGCCGTAAAGTTGCCTGCTTATCGGTATTTTACAGGATATATCACGGAGAGTGTGCGATGGAATTACATGATTTAATTCCGCCTTCCCCTTTCCATCACCGGGGGACTAGGCGTAGGCTTGGGTTCCACCCCTATGTTGTGGATATTCCAAAGATTCGCACGAAGCGTTACGCTTCCACATTTATATGGCGAACGGCTATGGAGTGGAATTCCCTGCCTGCAGACTTGTTCCCTGAACGTTATAACTTGGACCTTTTCAAGGCGAGAGTGAATAGGCATTATTTGGGTGTGCATGCTCCATCGTCGACCTCATCGTCACTTTCCATCAGGTGAGATGGAGGTCAAATGCGCACCTATATTTTATAAAAAAAAAAAAAAAAAAAAAAAAAAAATTGGTTACAATGCGGTATATGTAAAACTTTAAATGCGCATTCAAATGAGTAGTTAGTTCACACATTCCGTTTTCATTATTGGTTTTCCCATTATGAGACTCCTGGGATTTTTCTGGAGAAGTGTACTAGATGGATATTTTTTAAACTATCAAGTTCTACAAAATTTAGGGCAAAATTAAAAAAAAACTAGCAACATAATAATATTTCAGTAGGCAAATTTAGAAATACTAAGCTGACCTGTGTGCCTTATTCCAGCGTGACCATGGTCGAGTTTTGGAAATTTGACTAGCCAGAAAAAAAAGCCTGTGTTAGTCTCGGAGCTCGCGTACAAATTTTGCATAATATACAGAATTTGTTGTGTAAAACAACCCTTATAACTTTTGAACGGCGGACCGACTAAATCTAGTTTTTTGCGACTAGAACCGACTAAATAGCTACTTTTTTCTGGCTAGTCATATTTCCAAAATTCGACTATGTTCTCGGTGGAATAAGGCATACAGCTGACCTTTAGTATGTTGCTAATTTTTTTATGAAAAATGATAAAAGTACGTAGAGACTAAATCAAATTGAAATATTGTTTTGCAAGTCGTCAAAAATCTTTAACGTTTCTCTTTGACTGATCCTGTTTCAGTGAGTTCATTGGGAACTGAATCAAACGCATCACTACACCAATTATAATTATTTTTCAAAACGACTTGTGTAGCAGTCAGTTTATATCTTTTTTGGTGCCGTTTAAAGTCTTACAGAGTAATTATAAGTATTATAAAAGGAAGAGATTTTTGCTGCGTACCTTTTTAGTTTACTATCATCATTCAGCCATATATTTCTATGCAATTATTTTCATCACGATCACGACGACTAGGAAGTTGCGAGTGATATTAGTGGTAGATAAGAGGAACTTCACTGATATAGATCATTCACTCATTCTGATCTCGCGTTGCTTTGAGTCAGAACTCAAACTCCAAGTCACAGAAAATGTACGCGGCAAAAAATCCAATCCATATATTATATTTAATATCAATTATGTGGCTAACTATATATATATAGCTACAATATTGATAGTGATTGCGAAAATTTTAAGTTATATGAATTTATAATAGCCCAAAGTCTAAGCTGTTCTTGAATTTATTGTTGAAATATAAAATGTGATGTTGGCTCACGATTTTACCTTTTACGTAAATAGTTTTAAATGTATGTGTATTGATGTAAATATTATGATTTATTATGAAATAATAGAAGTAGAAGTAAAATTATTTTTACATAAATGATCTTGTTGTGTAAGTATTATCCTCTGATATAAAATTAACTAGTTGTACTTTTGTTACATTCCCTGAAACACTCTTTTAGTATTATTTTATTGAGTCTATAAAAATGTGAATAATACGTATAAACGAAATAAACAATGATTAAATTATTATTATTTTTTTATAGAAATGCCCTCACATATTTTTATAGTGAATTATTTATGACACTATTCCTTACCATTAAAAGGTAGTTATTTGTTGACTTCATCTTTCGGTGGAGTTTTCAAAATGGCCAACTACATGCGAAAAAATGGCAGAAAATGAAATTATTGAAGAAAAATTAAAATCTAAGATCGGCAGTTTGGATAATTAGACTAGCCTGTCCCGAAGGACTAAACGTTTTACTACACCTGTTTTTACACGTAATAGTTTAAGCATATTGGATACCAACAAACGATAACTTTTGATTGAAACAAAATCTAAGATCTGGCAGTATGTATTATTAGACGCCTTGGCCTGTACCGCACAAATACTTCTACTTATTTCGGTTGCCTTATATTCGGGTGGTATTATTATATATGAATTACGGTACACTGGTAAACCTACTCAGGTTGTTGTTACGTCGCAATTTTTAAATTAAAAATATTCTTTGTAAAGAATCAGATACGTGTTGTCCCACGATAGATAGTCTTAGTGCCTAGACCAGAAAAAATAACTTTCTTATTTCGAAACAAAAGAGTGAGAAATACTTGATTTAGATACAATCAGACCTTGACTTGTTGTGATTCCCGATATTGAACAATGGTGTTGCCAGAAATGTTAACATTATCCACCAAGTTAGGCATCTTTATGTATTCCATAGAAGCAATTAATATACTGTTACTTTTGCTTCATGAATGGTTTTTTGTTTTGCATTAAATTTATTAGTGTTTGGATATTTCCAAATACTATAATAAACGTAATGCAAAACAAGACTATGTTATGTGGATTTAGGGGTTGCACAAGACGAGCTTGATGTGTGCGGTGCAGTCGTGTACGGCTACTCATTAAAATCGTTTGTGTAATGAATATATTAAGTATATTCTAATTTTCTTATCTCAAATTTCAAACCCATGCGAGTTTAAGGATTTGAAATATCTACAAAGACTCGATTATAAACACATTAAGTCAAGTGCCTTCCTCATTGTTGAATAGCTAAGTACACTTTGCATTGCCAGCGGCGGCACAAGCTGAGTGACTAGAGGATGCACCGCGCAGGTTTACTCTTTTGTTAAACAAGAAATGAGAAAGATTGGAAAATGCAATATAATATAGAATATATTCGCTGCAAAATAAATTATACATTTCTTTGAATGCGAATTAAAGAAATACAACTGTATTTTGTATACAGTTTATTTTTTTACGTATCAATAAAATAAGTCTAGATTTTACAACAAAGGAGCGAATAATTACAATATTTTGCAATTAAAACCGATCAAATCACTTTAGATATAATTTACTTAAATTAAAAAATGATGCTGCTTGTTGGAATAAGGTTATCCCAGTGAGGACAGTCGACGGTATTATTACTTAAAAATGGCCCAAATGTGCTTTTTTTTTATTAAAACAGACTGTTCAATGACCAGACTAGTAAAGAAAAAACGATTCTGTTGTTAGTGCCAAATTATTTAATCGAAAGGAAAATCTGCATCATACATAATCAGAATTTGTTGTCAGGTATATATACCTGGAAGGCCGCAATTTACGGCAAAAACGTTTAAAAAAGAATATCCAATTTCGAATATTTTGTTAAATTTACGTTAGACTTAATAACTGCCTCCTTGGCCGAACGGTCACCATTCTGAACTGCCACGCAGAAGTCCCGGGTTCGATTCCCGGGCCGGGAGAAATATTTGTGTGGCCTATATTTATTACTCTCTCGTAAGTTTTGCTGAATTTATGGTTGTCTATGTGTGTGTCCTTGGCTCCCTAGATACTGTGTTTCCCTAGTGCTGGGCTATGAGTGAGTGCGTTCAAAAAGACTTGAATGCTGGCCGACCTAGCATCTCCATTCAGTTATTTGGAAGGAAAGAGGAAGGATGGGAGGAAAAGGAAGATAATAAATTTTTCACTTTATAAAGGAACATTTTTATAAAGTGAAAAAAAAAACATGCTGACAAATATTATTTTGTTGTAATTAACAACGATAATCGTACTCTTAACCATTTAACAGGCACTGCTTTTATTACGATTACATTACACAATAATTCATTATCACACATTATCACTGAATAAAAAATATTATCAGATACAATTTTCACTATTAAATAGTACAACTAAATTAAGCTGCAACGAGGATTTAGAATCGCAAACATTTTTTTTAATAAGTACATTACATGTAATTGCATCATCGCAATTTTCACTATTACGTAAAATAGATACCTATATTAAGTTGTCACGAGAGTTTGGTTTTTAAGTTTTTTTCAATAAGTACAATATTTGTAATTTCATGATTTTCACAATATCCATTATAAAAACGATTCACTATTAAAACGAATAACTAAATTAGTTGCCACGAGAATTTAGATTCTTAAGTTTTTTTTTTCACTAAGTACACTATACACCACAGTTCCAGGATTTTCAATCTTTTGATTTCCCTCATATAAACTTGGAAAGGCTATTAACATTTGTATAATTTACTTAAAAATTAAGTACGAAACATTAGCACCGAAAACTTATCGCCTAACACTTTAAAGCTCGGTGTAATTCTGGACAGTTGCAACTATGTATATAGTTTACATACAACACTATTTGATTCTTATTATTCGATATAAATAGACAAAACACGGTACAAATAAGAGAAAATTCATTTACCTAAAATATTTCTCACAGAGACAATTTGGTATGGATTCTGGAACATCTGAATGTAAAAATCACACTTGTCGTTTGTGATGTTTTATATAAAAGTTATGAATATAAAATATTCTTAACGATAATTCGATTATTATAAATAAGACAGGAAACATGTGCTCGCGCACATGCTCGTACTTATTTGATTCCTACACGTAAATTACGTACTTGAGAGATACTTGTGAATAAATTACATAGCCTAAAAGCCGTGAGCTTCAATTGGATTGCGCCACAGCCGACGATTGCGGCGGGTATTTCTGTTCATACGCCTGCAACAAATAAAAGGGCAAACATGTACATTTTGCCTCTGCCTCACAATGTATGTCGTGAATTATATAGTAGTTTATGTGATTATTACATAATAAAAGGCATTAAAATACGAGTGAGGGTTAATACAGAGGCATAAAAACATCTCAACGAGTGTTTCAAGGCCTAATTATGTACGGTTACATACACAGCTTTATCTACACACATATTATAAGCTCTTTGTGATGTGTTCAGGAACCGCATGTTACGACTGACGAAATAGCGGCAAATAAAAACTTTTCTCACGCATGTCACACAATCGTAGTTTTTATTTTTCATTTATAGACAAACTAGAATCGGCCCCAATTACCATATCATTCGATATCAAGTAACGTGGGCGAAATCGTCGCGCAAAACGACGGAGTCATAAATACAAAAGTTGAAGTTGATCAAGTAACGTGTGAAATTGTCAAAATTGTTTACTATTGACATTTCATTTCGAATAAAATTTCATCTCAACTGATATTAGAAGTGAGGTCCAATCAAATTGTTTTGTTTTTCAGAGATGTTCGAAATTTTAATGTAATAAGAACATCGAATTCGATGATAATGCGAAGCAATAATAACATTTTCACAGATAAGAAATTTGTTCTAACAAAACAGTTTACTTTTATGCTGGTCGTAATTTGCGGTTTTTGAACACGTTATAGAGAGTTTATGATATGTGTGTAGATAAAATAGTTTTTATGCCTCTTCTTCTTGGCACAAATGTCATTGTATAATTAAATATTCAAAATTGATCAAATGGGAGAGCGTCTGGCACGGTATGCTTGAAAGCATACCGTTCGATAAGCTGGTTCGAATCCAGCCGGATTTGTTAATTATAACAACAATTTATTATTGTTGTTATAATTAACAAACTAGCTAGTAATTTCAGAAAAAATAATTGAATATCATCATAGTTAAACATCGTGTTAATCAATAAACTTAAAAAAATCTGTTCTCACTGCTTAAAGCATAAAACGCCTTCAATTGGAGCATAGCAAAATTAACCATTAAAATAATTGCTCCTTATAATAAAATTTAAGCGCTATTTATAAAAATGAGTTTTCAAATCGATACCTCCAATGAACACTACGCCATCTTTATTTTTTGGTCATCTTCTGTTATTTTTGTAAACAGCCATATTTATTTGCCTTAGTAAGTATGGCTGCTTAATATAAATATAATCTTAATCGTGCTCCCCGAATTTTGTGAAAAAAAGAAACAAGAACAAAAAAAAACGAATTTTGTAAAAAAAAGAAACAAAAAACAAAATAAAAACAGAGCAGGTCCAAAAATTAAGTTGGCTTAGTGTTCATTGAAGGTATCGAAATGTGAACAACCAACCTTAGAAGTGGAATATTTTCTTCAAAATTATATGGGACTACTACTGAGGTATCCTCTTTCCAACAGAAAAGAATCATCAAAATCGGTTCACAAATCCGGAGTTACCGGGTAACATACATACAAAAAAAGAAAAAAAAATACAGTCCAATTGAGAACTTCCTCCTTTTTTTAAGTCGTTTAAAAATGAAACATTCGTCATCTTACTTTCTCAAACTCATATCTTAAAGCACAAAGTACTGAAATGTAACACATTTTCAAATTATTATTTTAAAATCAGCCAGCCGCTTTGTGATTGTGAACTTCTTTGTGAATTTCCTTATTATTTTATCATGCACTTATAATAGGGAAATGATATGTATTTCTCAAGTTTGTACTCATTAGTAATACTTTGAAATGATAAGGTATGTTGTTATGAGCGCGGCATAGTCAGAGAAAAAGTTGTCCATTTTCCTGAACAATTTCAAATTAAAATGAAATTTCATAGTCTTCCCTTTATTTAAGATGTTATGTTATTTAGAAGAAAACAATCCTTATGATTCTTTCGATGAGTTTTGCGATCAGTATAATAAAATTACAGGTGTTTTTTTTTTCACATTTTGCGGGTTCGATTCCGGGTTCAGAGAAGCGATTATTTAAAAATCTTTGAATGCAGTTCGAATTGTTTTTCAAATCAAAACGAAGTCTTCTTTCAGTAAAATGTTCTATCAATAGTATTTAAGGTACTTTCCCTCCAAGTGGCATAGCCGTGAGACACCCTGTATATACAAATTTTGCAGGCTGATTTCACATTACATTTCCTTCATATTTGGCTTTTACCTATTCTTAAGTAATGTATCCAAATTAACAATCTTGATAAGAAATTTAAAATAAATAAAAAGTTTTGCCATTTCCTGAATAATCACTCTTAATAATATACGAGTTTGAGAAAGTATGGCATCGTATTGTGTTATTTTTTCTCGTCACAAACAGGCTTAGGAGTTGCAGGACTTATAGAATATAACAAAATCGGGAATTCTGGTTTGTGTAAGATTAGTGCACGAGTATAATGAACTCACGGTAGTCACCCAATTGACATCATTATGCTATTTCCACGAAAATGCGCTGCCATTCCGTGTCGCAGTAATGTAAATTGAGCGTAATTGGGACAGCCGTTATGGCCCTTCGATAAGAGACCAGGACCCAGATTCAGAACTCTTCGACATTTTAACCGTATCGTTCTTGAATCGAAGGGCGCTTTCCGAGCTATTCAGGACATTCCAGACTTTATTTAAAATAATAAGAGATTTCCATATTACATTCTTACTTTGTAAACAATAGGCGCTCGGTAACTTTAATTCGATAACTGTGTTCAGAATTACGTATTGTAAGGCTTTGCCGGTTGAGAGGTTCGAGTAATCGTACGCGTGTGACGTCATTTCGTTTGGGTTTCCAATACGACATTTTGACGTTCGATTTGAGTGTTGTGAATTAAAATTAAAAGAAATAGGTCGACAACTGAGTTCAGGTAAGGTTCTAAATCGACCCCCTGAGTCGAGCAATTGGATTTATAAAAATATAATCTGATGTATATAATGTTACCTGTCGGGCAATGTTATGGAGCGTCTCGGCCATCTGCCTCCCGGTCTGGTCGACCATGCTGCGCAGCACGCCGTCGCTCTTCTGCAGCAAGATGTGCGGGTGGTCCAGCTCTACCATACGCCCGGCGTCCATTACTAGCACCTGCAAATGATGATACCACCAAAATCAAAACGTACTAACCGATTGAAGGAAATTTTGGGTCCAAAACGCACAATAGACTGTTTTGTCCACTTTATTATTAATAAATAAATAATAACACATATACTCAACATAGCCCCGCCCTAGGGAACCCCTGAGTCGCGAGAGACATGGACGCACACATAGACACGGTGTGGCCCCGGGATTCGGACCTAGGACCTCTGCGTAGTAGTCCGGCATGGCAACTGTTCGGCCACAGAGGAGATGGTCCGGATTCGAACCCACGTTAGGACAATACGGTTTTTTCATAATTTAATACCTTATCTGAATCCATAACAGTGTGTAGACGATGAGCAATCGTTAGCACTGTGCAGTCGACGAATTTGTTTCTTATCGCCTTTTGAATCAAAGTATCCGTGCTGAAATTAAAAAAAAAAATTACAAAAATTATAAATATTTAGAAAAAAGTTATTTATTTTATATATTAGTTTGGATTACAATTTATTTGACACACGAAAATATAATAGTGGTTAGCGTCAAAGCGAAGTGCGTTAGGTGTGGCTTAAGGCTAAAGATTATTCGCTTGTCTATCTTGTCGCGCAAAATCTAATTAAAAATCTCAGACAGAAAAAGTCATTTAATTTTTTTATAGAAACTTCTAAATAGACGTAACTTTCGACCAGTGATAATATTAAAGTGAATACTAACTGCGGGTCCACATTAGCTGTGGCCTCGTCAAGCACGAGCAGCCGGTTGCGGCGAATGATGGCGCGCGCTAAACAAACCAGCTGTCGCTGACCCACGCTGAAGTTGCTGCCGCCTTCGGACATGCGAGAACTGAGACCAGCTGGAAGTTCTGCTACTGCGTCTTTTAGCTCCACCTTCAAAATCATCAGTTTGTTAGCCATCGTCTTAAGTGCAAAACGGATCAAGAAAAAAACAAGGAAAACATGACTCAGTTTTAAAAAGAATTTTGTAATTTTGTCATGTGGTATGGTAATTTTATCAGTATTATCGAAAAAGTGAACGGGTTCAATATTTGGAAATGATCTTTTTTTTCGGTTCTAAATCGCGTATATTTAACCAAAGTTTCGGGCTCTATTAGCCTTCCTTCATACGGCATTGTGCTGCATGTTTTAACGTATTGTTTTTTTAACGTATTCGATTATAAACGGATAGACAGCGCGGTGTTCAAACGATATATTTTCATGCGTTTAAAAGATGGATAGCCGCAGTATTCACACAGCAATCGCACTGAAAACATGTCTGTGATGGATCCACGCTTTGTTGCACTTTTATATTGGCATAGAAGACCCAAAGGCTTTGTCACCGGAAGAACAGAAGGTTTTGGTCTTATTCAATGAATCAAGAAGCAGTGCAAAACAAAACACATTTGAAAAATTGTACGAAAATCTGAGAAATGATGAAAAAAGAACGGGCCTTTGTTCCCCAGATATCAATAAATCGTTGTTCACTGAAGATTCGCCGGTCATTTTGTATTAATAAAATTTTGCGTTCTAAAAGATACTTCAATACTAGATGCCGCTTGTTCAGTGACTATTCGATAAAAAACGTAGAACTTCGCGCCGTGTGAAAGAGATGCTTTAATACTATACGCCACTGCACACCGAATACGTTAAAGTTCAATCGATTTGCTTAGCAAGTCCCTTGCGTATTCAATAAACATATAGAGCTGTGTGCGTTGCAGGACATGCACCGTGTGAACGGACTGTTTATTTGGTAAGATTTATACTGCAAAAAAATAGTACAGTATAAAGCCGTGTGAACGGGGGGATACAGATCCATGTTCACGGTTGAATGAGCTGGTATAGTAATCAAGAAGTTATGTACAATGTTAATGCGATAGGGTGGTTTGCGATTTATAGAGTACTTTGCATTAATAATAGACACATATTGAAGTACCATCTCAGTCAGCCGTGATCTTAGGATAGTGGCGTGACCTGTAACGAAAAAGTTGGTTTGTTTGAAAACATAAATATACACGATTTTGATTCGGAAAACATTGTTACCTCCAATGTGAAACAATCGCGAAAACCTAAGGTTTACAGTATTTGTTTGTCATTTTCTATAGTATGGATCATAAAAACGTAAATAAAGAAATGTCATGAACTGTCATTGTCAAAGTGTGAATGCAGGCGAGCTAAACCCTTTATTTTCAACGGAACTGGAAAAGGAGGAGATTCTCATTTTCTAATATTTTAATTATGTATTACAAAATATTAACAATAAACAAAACCTTTAACAGATACAAGAAAACATTCGAGTTCGAGAAACGAAGCACGAATGACATTTATGACACTACAAAATGGCAGCACCATAAATGTTTTTATCCCGATTGTGTTACCAGTGTAATAAAATTATTTACGGCGTTAAACATAGTACTTTATTATAATTATGGTATTAAACGAAATTAAATAAAAATATATATTACACAATGTGAACTGTTGTAAGTTTTATCAGATTATAGCTAGAAAAGAGTTCTAAACGTTTGTTATCGTCAAAAATAGAATATATAGGATAGGATTATCATCATTGTACATTTTGAACACCTAATTATGATTCAAACTATATGTAGCTTATGAAAATTGTCACCTCTTCCAAGGCGCGCCAAAGTACTTGATCAGGGTACTCGTCAAATGGGTCGAGGTTATACCGCATAGTGCCTGAGAAAAGCACAGGCTCTTGTGGTATTATGGAGACCTGACTACGCAGTTCATGAAGGCCAAGGGTTGATGTTTCGATTCCGTCGATAATTATCTCGCCTTCTATATATGTTAATCTGAAATTCAAAAAGGATTTCTGATAAAACTGTATATGGACGTTATGAGAATGTCAAAGGATATTTTATTTTCGAGTAGTTAGAACGGATATTTCGTTTATGAATCTCTTTTTTTTATGATACTAAGTAACTGGAACGACAAGTCGTGCACCTTGTGATGATGCGACCTCTTTCATCGTCATCCCACCTTTTTATCACTCTTTTTTTTGTTTTTGTATTATAAAGTTTGTACTCTCAAATCCAAGATGACGTTAAAAAATTTTTTCTTGTTTAGTGACGTTATCATTCTCAGGGTGCGATATGAATATCATGGTAGTAAGAACATCATGGTATTCAGTAAAATAAATATCGTTCAACGATGGCACGGTATGCTAGAAGATGTCGGTTCGAAACCGGCCGGATCGAAGGAATTTTTCTGAGTGTTCGATCCTTGTATTAATAATTATAACAAACTAGTGGAGTAATTTCACATAAAAATAATTGAATATCAATTCAATAAAAATTTAAAATACAATGAATAGCGACAACTCTAGCCGGGGCTGGTAGCTGTAAAGGTATCTAACTGGGTGACGAAATACTGGTAGCTGTAAAGGTATCTAACTGGGTGACGAAATACCATAGATTTCTCAGAGATGGCGCTACGGCTAAAAAGTCGTTGAAAAACCAAATACGAGAAAATAAAGATACGACGCAAGAACATAGAAAAATTCGTGAGGTCCGCTGATTCGTTCCGTGGCTTAGTTAGTATAGCGTCTGGCACGGTATGCTAGAACACGACGGTTCGAATCCAGCCGGATCGAAGGAATTTTTTCTGACTGTTCGATCTTTGTATTAATAATTATAGTTTAACGAGTTATGTGTTACAAATAAAATAATTATTTACCTGAATAACGCATTAATAAGTGACGATTTGCCAGCGCCAGTTCGTCCGACGATTCCTACTTTCTCCTTGGGCTGAATTACGAAGCTGAGATCCTTAAGTACGGCGGGCTCACCCGGCGTGTAATATAGAGACACGTTCTTGAACTGGATATAGCCATGCTCTGGCCACGTCGGGGGTGGCTTTTTACTTGGCTCGGATTCCAACGGCGGTTCCGAATCGATCTTTGAGTATTCTCCTATCCTGTAGATAAGGTACAAGTAAATCAGATAATATACCAGCAGCGCTAATACAACAGGACGCGAAATGCGCGAAAAGCGACATATATTCGTTTCAATGCATACACCAACCGTTAACTGGATAATTGGTGTATATTTTGTCATGGAAAATGGGCAAACAGCTTTATTATTTTATATTTAAATGGTCAAGAAATATTAAGTAATATGCTACCTTTCTACACTGGTCATCTGGTTTTCGAGCTCGGCCCACTGGCGCATACCCCACTGGATCATGCCTGTGAGCCCGATCGCCTGCGTTATAGCCAGCCCGACGTTACCACCGTATTCTTCTGCATTGCATTTTTGTTAAAATATGTATTTAAGAGACATTCAGATTCTAAATTCGAATCAGATTCTAAATTAGGTAAACCTAAAGTTTGTGGGTAGTATTAGAATGTCAATCATAATACATAGGGCGCACTATAAGTTTCCGGAACTGGCCACTTACATAAACAATATTTAAAAAGTAATTACAACATTTGAAAATGGAACTCTTTGGCTGTAGAATACAATTTGTTTCATCTGACTGTCACTTGTTTTTACATTGTGGCGTCATTTTAGAAATTGATTGTCTACATCACCATGGATTGAACTCGTGAAAATTATCGTAGTACGATTTTCTACGACTTTAAGTGTAATTCAACAGCTCAGCGGAGCTTCGCTCGGCTTCAAACTGCTTTTGGTGATGAAGCACCATGCAAGACGACTATTTATAGCTGGCTTGCAGAATTCAGACGCGGTCGTGTGAATCTCAGTGACGAATTTCGTGATGGTCCACTGCTGTGAACAACAAAAACATCGATGCTTTGCGTCGTATTATCAAAACAGACAGGCATGTGACATACCATGAGATTCGGGCATCATTAGGCACAGGCATGAGTCAAATACAATCAATACTACACAAACATTTGGGTGTGAAAAAGCTGTGCTCTCGATGGATCCCACACAATTTGATTGAAGTCAAAGTCAAAGTCAAAGATTATTTATTCCATAGGTAAAATAAATTTACACTTGAAAACGTCACAGTTAAGCTACTGCTCGTTCACTACGCTGACCTCCCTGAGAAGAACGAGCAAGAAACTCTAGGGATTGCTCTTTTCAAATAAACTTAAATGCTATGGAATACACTTTGAATCAAATTTGTGTGGATTCTGGAGCCATGTCGTCTTTCCATACATCTTTATCTAACACGTAATCTTCAACTTTGTAATATGATTTTTCGATCAAAATATTTTTAATGTAGTTTTTAAACTTAGGAATTGATAAACTTAATATATGCTCCGGAATCTTAGTGTAAAAACGTATACAGTTCCCCATAAAAGAGTTGTTTACCTTGGTTAAACGAAATCGTGGTACCATGAGTTTGGACTTAGCTCTAAGGTTAATATTATGGATATCTTCTTTCTTATTGAAATTATGTATATGTTTACGGGCATATAAAATATTTGAATAAATGTACTGTGATGCCACAGTCATGATACCAGTCTCCTTAAACTTTTCTCTGAGAGATACCCGAGAACCTAGACGGTACACAGAACGAATCGCTCGTTTTTGCATAGAAAATATGGTTTGAATATCTGCCGCTTTACCCCACATGAGAATCCCGTAGGACATTATACTATGGAAGTAACTAAAGCAAACTAGTCTAGCAGTACTAACATCGGTAAGCTCACGTATTCTGCGGACTGCGTATGCAGCGGAGCTTAATCTGCTGGCCAGAGCAATAAATATTAGCAATAAATTGTTAGCATTAAACCAATAAACTACCTTAGAGAGGGTATCATTAATATGGTCATAGTTAATGTCATGTCTGTCTGTTTTAAAAATCAAGGATGTATCATCAGCAAACAACAATATTTCGCAATGGTCCTTAACAAAGAATGGCAGATCATTAATATAAATCAGAAATAAGAAAGGTCCAAGTATTGAGCCCTGCGGAACACCCATTTTTACTGGAGAACCCAAAGGCTCAAAATAACAGATCGCGTCACTTGGTGCAATGCCATGCATACCAGATTCAACAAAAGGGCGTCGAATTTGGTGTGGGACATAGTAACAGTTGACGAAACATGAATTTATAGTTACGATCCCAAAACAAAGCAGCACTCGAGCGTATGGGTCTTTCGAGATGAGCCGAAACCAACCAAAGTGGCGCTCGTGCAGAGTGCCTCTAAGCGGATGATGGCTTCTTTTTTTAATAAAACTAGACACGTGGCTACTGTTGCTTTGGAGAATCGTTGTACCGTGAATAGTGATTGGTACACGACCATTTGTTTGCCGGAAGTTATTGACAAACTCCGGAAAAATAGCCGCCGTATCATCTTGCACCACGATAATGCCAGTTCTCACACGGCCAGACAGACAAATGAATTTTTGAAGGTGAACCACGTTGACCGTATGAGCCATACCGCGTAGAGTCCCGACCTGGCACTTTGTGCCTTTTATTTATTTCCAAAAATTAAGAACCAGAAACGCAGTCAACGATTTTGATCACCTGAAGAGGCTGTCGAAGAGTATCAAACATATGTTTCAGAGATTGTCACGTAAGGGTGGCATAAATGTTTTCAAAATTGGTTCATTCGTATGAAAAAGTGCATCAACGCTAACGGAGAATATTTTGAGAAACAATAAATTCATTTCTGACCATTTATAGTATTTTTTTCTTATTTATTCCGGAAACTTATAGTGCGCCTCATGTATACTATTACATCCAGTTCAACTTTTTCGTAATTATTTTAGAATAATAATAATTTATTTCAGAATTTTGTTTGTTCATTTATGGTTATATACAAGTCTGCCGTCCGCTAACTAAAACGCGGCTAAGTGACAAAATATTTTTTTGAGATATCAGAAAAAATCATAATCCAGTTTTAGAAAATTGAAATTGTTTAATGATATGTCAGCTAAGCATCGTTAGGGTAAGTTCCGATAAGTAGAACACGTTAATTAATTTTAACTGTTTTTAAAAGAGAATTTTGTTGCCTTTCTTTTTCTATTTATAACGGATATTTGACCATTTGTCACTAGCCGCGTTTAGTTAGTGGATGGCAAAGGTGATCTTATGACTAATGTTAGTATTATATGACTACGTGCAACCGCGAGAAAATTTTTTTAATGCTGATCGACTCGGCTCATTTCATTGTATCGAAAGAAAATATCGGGACAGCAGAAGTTGGTCAAATTTAATAATTTTTTTGTATGAACAATAATTAATAAAATATATTTAAACGACGTCATTCCGCACCCAGACCACTGTATGTCGTTAGCCTAAAAGTTGCGGCGAGTGTACTTCTGTAAAAAAAGGTCGAAACATGCCCACAGAAAGAAAAATACCGCCTGTTCCTCACCTTGTTTGAGGACGAGAAAACTGAGCGTAACTATGGCGATGTAAAAGACGCAGAGTAGGTCCAGCCAGAACCCAAAAGCACGTGAACTCGCGATGAACAGGAACCTGGGAAAGATAATGTAAATATAAAAATGCACTTTGTACAAAGCGGTAGTAGGTTATCCGAACAGAGGTCAATAAATAATTACCTTGATTAGAACAAGGTAGATTTCACCTATAAATGAACTTTTTTTTATAATATCAAGTGACGTGACGAACAAGTCGTGCGCCTGATAGTAAGTTACACGCCTGTCCATAACAGTTGCAGTGCTAAACAGAGCTTTAAATCGCAAAGATTTGAGGGCACTGCCACCCGTCACCCTGAGACATAAGTTGACAAGTCCCATGTGCCTATAATTTCACCAGCACCCTTACTTAGACTTCAAAAACCGGAACACAATGATGCTGACTGTACCGGTTGCGGTTGAGATTCACATTCTAATTTAGCGAAGTAAAAATAAAGCTAATATGTGCTTGAATAAGCTAATTATTTACATTTTGCGACCAGTATACGTTTGTATTGTACTTACCACGCTGAACTATGGAGATCTTGGTGATTATCAAATTCTCTGATAAGAGCCTCTTGCGCGCCGAAAGCACGAATCGTGATAATTCCCTGTAGTGACGCGTTCAAGTGAGAAAACACGGGACTACGAGCTGCAATAGGCGAGATTTAACGTGATTAATACAGTAACCAGGTGTGTGTCTGTATGGACTGCTTCACAAAATATCATAGCTAAACGAGACCCATATCGCAGACGAAACCAAATGCTGCTCTCTCTCTCTCTCTCTCCACTCCACCTAATGTTAAATGGAAAGTGGAACCCTAACGTGAAGGTACCTAATGTAGTGTTGAGAAAACACATTTGAAAATTAAAGAAAAAGCCAATGAAACTAATATACATATTCTCGTTTATAAATAGATAATTAAGTATTATGTGTAAATAAAAATAATCACATTATTTGCAATAAGGTTCATTAAGTATTTTTTTAATGAATTTTCAAATTTCTTTTTTTTAATTCTACAAAAAAAAATTGAATTACGAAAGTATTTGGTTTATTATTATTTTGTTATTAAGAGTTTTGGCTAGGATAGTCCTTTGAGCCATGTCTTCGTTTAATTATTGGGATCCTCATCAAACCATTTCTATTGTGGTTCTAAAACATTACACATTACAAGTACATTACAGTTTTCATTTTCTCTAAAATAACTTAGTTCTCTTGTTTGGGCTCTCCAAATAATCTTTAAAGCGGCGAGAGTCAATATTTATGTTTTCACTTTCACTTATATCACATTATTGTCACTTTGAACAATAACTTTGAATTCGTAATTATTGTAATTTTCTGGATAGATTCTTTTGTAATTTGGTTTAAAATAAGGAATATAGTTCTAATTTTCTTCATCATTAGTTCTTTCTACGTATTTTCTTCATAATATTTAGTTTGATTGCAGTTCGGTGCGCGTTCGGAAACGGACGCGTCCAATACGCAGTGAGAATTATTATAATTCGAGTTTCGCGCGGCATATGCCGCTGCGCGTAAGTGGCAATTGGTTCCCAACAACTCATAGCCAATGAGCTTGGCGTTTACCAACACGCCATCGATACCATGGACGAAGTCAGCATCCTGATGATCTACAAATCTAAATTCAACGAGGATGAGATTTGCAGTGGCAAGATGGTGTTGTTCGAGAGCCTCGGCAAAGCTGAGCAGATGCCATCTCGCCGGAGGGATGGAGGCATGAAGAGACTCCAGGATATTATCACACTCCTGAAGGAGGCTGACGCGGACAACGTGCCTACATTCGTGGCGAAGGAGCTGCACAAACTGCACCCTGCCACGTTCGACCACTTCGATGTTACCAGGCTGCTGAAGGATAGGATTCCCTGAAGTCAAGCTTGGCCGAGTTGCAGTGTAGATTGGAGGGTTCAGATTGTTATCTGAACGCTCCAATCTAAACGCTTCTACCATTAGTGAGCTGCGTGCCCCAGTTACGTTATTAAACAACACTGCTTTGGTATGCAGGTCACCAGAAGTCTTTAATGTAAACACGCGCCGTGGGGCGCAAAATGTACCCATCAGCAGTGTCGAGTGGCACAAATGGTTGCGTCACCGATCGCTGTCATGTCAGCCCCTGCACGTGAATACGCCGCTGTAGCCGCTTCTACCAGCCGACCTGGCACTTCGAAACTCGAGAGGTGACAATCGGCTAAGAGTAAAAGTAATCCCCGTGTGCCTGTCTCCGAAGTTGCAAAACCACGGAGGCAAACGGATCAATGCGACGAGGACGGTGGTTCATAAAGGTGGTGAAGAGGAAGAGGTAGCCCACCAGCTGTAATCTGTGTGGCACAGCACCGACAGGATTTAATTTTTTGCTCCGTTTGGCAACACCGACGACGCTGCTGTATCTGTCTCTACTACACTACATTACTCCACGAAGTCTGAGGAGATAGTGGATTACATCAGGCTATAGGCAAATACACCCCGAGAGTCGAGCGGTTGGAGTCCCGCCACAACGTAAACTTTAATTCGTTTGTGGTGAGAGTGCCGACCGAACATCTGTCGGCCTTCACGAAGGAAGACTTTTGGCCGAAGGGTGTCATATATCGGCGATTCCGCGACCGGTTACCTGACACCAGATTGCGCCACACGTCGCCGACAAACGCAATATGTGTAGATTAGTTGTTTAATTTATTTTATCGTTATATTATGTTGTATGTATGTTAGTCCTTAAGGTATATATTACATGGGACATGTGGCTTGAAATAATAGTCTAAATAAATAAAAAAAAACATATGCATAAAATAAAATTAATCTTTGTAAAAACTGTACTTGTAACTTCAAAAGCCCCTGTATTTGGTTCATGTGCGATATGTACTAGTGTTGCAACGAATTATAAAGCGGAATACCGAATATTCTGCCAGGAGCGTGGTCGAATATACGGAAATTGTTGCGAAAAATACTACTCATTAATTTGTATTATGATAAACAATTTTATACAACGAAAAAAAGTTACCTTAATTTTCAAGTTTACATTTAAATTTAAGACTTCATTTATTTGTTTATTTCACTTCAGTTTAATTGAATCCAAAAACATTTGGTTTGTAAATAATAAGTATTAATAATAAGTAATCATATTTAATAAGTCATGAGTAAACTACATAATAAGTATATAGTTTTCATGCGTTACACGTTACGTTGATGTAAAATTTCTTAGAAAAATAATTCAGTGTTTGTTACATTTTCTTTTTATCATTTAGGGCGCGTTCAAATTAGCCGCGCCCTTAATCTAAAATATTTGTATGTAAAGAAGCGAAAAACTGCGCTTTCACGAAGTTACAATGCATTAATGAAAGTTACGTTCCCATTACTAGTATAGTATTGTATTATCTGTGCCATTACTATGTATTCGGTATTTAACCGAATAGTGATTAAATATTCGGTATTCAGTATTCGGTCGAATAGCAAGAAACAGGGCTTATTTGGCCGAAATCCGAATAGTAGCCGAATACTCGTTGCAACTCCAATTAATTACAATTCTACTAATTGATTACTTAAGAAATGCCTGTAAAGCATTACGACACTAATTCAAAGCAAACGAAATTGAAAAGCGAAGGTTCATGAAATGAAACTTAGCATTTTTTTATAATATCAAATCAAGTGACGGGACGAACAAGTCGTGCGCCTGATGGTAAGCTACATGCCTGTCCATGACAGTTGCAGTGCCACTCGGAGTTTAAAAACACAAAGATCTGAGGGACACTGCCACTGCGCCCGTCACTCTGACACATAAGTTGAAAGTCCCATGTGCTTGTAATTTCACCAGCTCCCTTACCTTTCACAACCGAAACGCAATAATGCGTACATTGCTGTTTGGCGGCAGAAATAGGTAAGGTGACAGTATTTCCCTGGATGGCAATACTTTTAGCTTTACGTTCATGCAGTAGGAGCGAAAAAGACGTTGCGCGTTTCGCTTCCGTTCGGATCGCGAACGCGAAGTGCACGTAATTGTCGCTCTTAATACATGGACACATAGTTTTTTTCTGACTGACATATAGCAATACCGTGTCGATAAATTAGGTGACTCTTATCCGAAATTGCAAATTCTACGTTGTGATGTCAGTAACCCACCCGTTCATGAACAAACGGTGTAAAATTAAATATCACAATACGATAGTACGGGGTACCCCGTTTCGCTATATGGATCGCAAAAAACCAATTACGGGCTTTACAGAGCAATTTCCAAGTGCTGTCTGTGTAGTTGCCCCCTACTACTTCTATATAGAAAAGCATCAATAACGTACTGACAATATGCAATGATTTACATTGAACTTTTTATATTGAACAATATAAGCACATTATTGCATTTTTGTGTGTGGTACTGTATTTGAGAAATGGTAAAAACAACCATGATGTGCAGATTTAGGAATCTCTACGTGTGGAAAGAATGAGAATAAACATAAAAACATTAAATTTATTTCCACTAGTTCAATGTATGAAACTTTTGAGTTATAATTGTTCCATGTGGAACTGAGTATATGGAACTACTGGGAATAACACTTTTTTTACTCACACACTCATTATAGCCCAGGGAACCCAGGGTCGCGAGTGTCATGGCCACACAAACCACAAACTACACCCAAACCCACCAGAGAAATAAGTGTAGGCCATACAAATATTTCTCCCGGCCCGGGAATTGAATTCGGGACCTCTGCGTGGCAGACCAGCATGGTAACCGTTCGGCCTCAGAGGCAGTAACTAAGGTTCCATGTAAGTACTATCCGTGAACGGGTTAATTAATTTTCCTCAATATCGTAAGTTATGTTCGAGAATATAGTTAGAGAACACGAATGCATCATAAATGTGAATAATGTCTGTAAATATGCTATCGTGTAGTGGACTAAAAAGGCGATGGCCTCAGAGATGACTCACTCACACCCTCGAGGCGCTTGATACTCCTTGAAGATGCTAGGTAGAACATCCTCAGCCCGTAGAACACCAGCCCGACCACCATCGTAGGGATCAGTAGCCAATAGTTGACTACCGCTACTACTACGAGAATACCGATTAAGGAGAGGCCGATCTGGAAAAAGGATGGATTATTGAGATAAGTGGGTTGAGTTCTTACCGGGTAACTTGCATCTCCTGCCCCTTACATACATAATTCATATTTAACAAAAGGGAAACAACAAAAATCTCTGCTTAATTATTTTTTTTAATTCTTCCTCCAGACGTAAGTACAGGACAATAACAAAAATAAACAGATTTTATAGATCGAGTTCTTAGGTTTTCGCGATTGTTAC